AAATACCATGCATTAAAAACTTTTATGTAATACGTAAAATGTCATATATCAGAGTAATAATACATAATCACTATGGAAGCATATACGAGTTTGAAAATATGCAACCCGTACATCTCTTGCGTCTCCTGGGCTTCCAGATCATTTTCCATGACTTGTACTTTACTTGTTAATTACCTAAGCGTAGTCAACATAAATGAAAAACCACACGCTCCGTGAAACCGCTAAGTGCTGGCACACTAGAATTGTAGAATAACTCATATGCATATATACACAATTACACATATATACATTCATACATTTTCCAAGATGGCATAACTTTGTCATGCATTTCATTTAAATTTTTTTAATCCGTTCTAGAATAAGGCCATGATTAAACTTCATACGCATAGAGACTCACCACTTAACTCATATTTTGCTTAGGTCCTAGAATTCTTTTAGTCCTTATATGTTCCTTAATTTGTTGATGTTATAAAGATAATCATGATAAGATATACAACAATCATATAATCCAAATGGCGACACAAGTTCAGAAATCTGAGTTTCGACTTGTCCGTCATGCAACACAAAATGATAATATGTCAATCCAAAAATTAAATAATTATAAGAATGATACTCCTTCTCTTCAGAAATTATCTTCCCGTTAACTATTCACATAATCAAACTTTGTTCACTTTGTTAGCCTAATTTCGTTGCTCATTTGATAAAATAATTAAAGTCACATAGTTTTACTATAAAACAAGGTTTATTTTTTAGAAAGGGGATCCAAATTATCTTCCTGTTAACTATTCACGTAGTTTTAATACTCCCTCCGTCCCAGAAAACCTTTCTCCTTTCTTTTTTCATCCGTCCCAAAAAGCACTTCTCATTTCTATTAAAAAGTCACTTTTACCCCTTACTTTTTCATACCCTAACTATCACATCATACTTTTTTACTAATAATCTATCTATCAAATCTTACTTTTACCCATCATATCAAAGGACATTTTTGGAAATTCAATACCAAAATACACTCTCCTAAAATCTCTCTTTAAAATCAAAACTTCTATATTTTCCGGGACGGAGGGAGTATAAAATAAGGTTTACTCCGTATTTTTTAAGAAGGGGATCCAATTGTAAGAAAAAGAAACTTTGGATCCCCTCCAATCCAATCCCGAGAACCGCCAGAAACAAATGGGCGCTCCAAGCTTCCGATGAAATCTAATGGCTCGACGAGGTATCCACACGACGGAACTAGGCTGCATCGCCTGCGACGATCTATCATACCTCGGTGCCGGCAAGGAGGGTTGGCTCGTCGGAAACCCTAATCTCCTCACTGCCCTCGATACTCATTCCATCGCATTGGCTAACCGCTCAATTATCCTCCTCATCCACTGGCTCGGCGGCGGCGGCGGCGATGCGGACTCCAAGATCGTGCCCGACCTCTCTCCGATCGAACCCGAGTACATCTCCGCTCTGGAATGGTTAGTGTTTGGTGATATCAAAGTAATTGCGGTCGGTACCTCTTGTGGGTATTTGCTGATTTACTCTCTCCGCGGAGATCTCATTCACAAACAGGTACAGTAATTCAAGTTTTTCATTGTATTTGGATATTGGTATTTGTGTAACCGTGTTAGCTGATGGTATGGCTAAGGTTTGCGTAAATCCTTAAACATTGATTTTTTTAAAAAGGACTTCTATTCTCATCCGTGAATTGCTCGGTCTTATTGGTAAAAAATGCTACTGTAGCAATGTTTTAAAGGGCATATATTTTTGGTTGGATAATTGGATGATATAGCTGGGGGGAGGTATTCAGTGTAAATTTTTTAACAATAAATTTCTTTTATTTCACTGTTTATTTGATTTTGGACCGAGTTATCGATAAGTTGTTGAGGTTTCCGTGGATGGAAATGCCCTTAAATTTTATTTTCAAAAGACACTACTTTTCTGTGAATTGTTTGATCTTGTTTTACTGTCGAGCCAATGCAGAGGTGTGAACTATTCGAAAATCTCTTAAAAGGATGAGTCTTTCTGTTTAGATTATGTACTTGGCAAAAATGCTTGCAAAAATATAACAGTGTTCCTGTGCAGCTTGAGCTCGGGGTCTCTTGGAAACAACATCTCTACTTTCGAGTAGGGGCAAGGTCTGCTTACCCATACCCTCATTGGATTCTTGTGGGATCCAACTGGGTTGTTGTTGTTGTTGTTATTGTTATTGTTGTTATTGTTGTTGTAACCAAGTCAACTAATATAAAAGTTCCCGAGAAATATTTAGAAAATTTAAGTCTTTGAATCACAATAGGTTGTATTTTGCAAAAATTTGTTTGCTTGTTTTTTTTGGCTAGTGAAGAGGGCTTCTTGGTCATGGTTCCAATAGAAATTCTTCTTGTTTCCATTTGATAAACAAAGGAAGATTATTTTGCTTATGGGTATTTGGCAGAATGCCTCTCTACTTTTAGTGGGGTAAGGTCTGCATACACACACCCTCTGCCTACTGGGTTGTTGTTGTTGCTGTATGGGTATTTGGCAGAATAAGTTGCTTTTGACTTGGATTCTTTCAGAAAATTTAAATCTTTAAATCACAATAGGATGTGTTTTGCAAAACTTTGTTTGCTTATTTTTTGGCTAGTGAATAGGAATTCTTGGTCATGGTTCCAATAGAAATTCTTCTAGGATCCATTTGATAGACAAAGGTCGATTATTTTTCCTATGGGTTTGTGGAAAAATAAGTTGCTTTTGACTTGGAAGAAATGGATGTTTCTAAAAGTTTTTCCTTTGAGAAAATTCAGCAGATTCATCCATTTTAGCCAAATGAGCCCTTAATATCCCCAAATTATATGCCCTCTCTGTGTACGTGTCATGACTTAATGTATAGAGATAACCATATACTCCGTATTTCCTTTTGCAGTTGGTATACACTGGAAGGATCTTTAAATTGAGGGTTCGTGGAACTAAGAGAGACCAGATGCAAGAGACTTCGTTAGAGGAAGTCTGTGTTGTTATGCCGGGAACTGTTGCCCGCTTTGAGGGATCTGATATTCAGGTGCAAATTTATGTAACAGGTCTCGTTTCATGAAAGATTTCATCAATGGCCCCTATTACTGTTTCGTGCTTGAACACCAGCTTCAAGGGTATCCTGCCCTTACTAGTTTACTTGGTGCTTATAAATAACGAAATGCAGAGAATGCTTGAGAGATGGTTTCGAGAAAGGTACTCTGGGTCATGGGATCATCCAAATAACAGAGGTTTAGAAGATTCTGGAGATTTTTTTGGAAGGCTTCCCTATCAGTTATGGAATGTTAACAAATATGGATCCTGTGTTGATGCTGCTATCACAGGTGTAATGCCCCCTCCTCTCATGGAACTCCAGGTAATGCATTTCTTTCCTTTTGTAACTAGTTTTAAATCTATAAATCTTTGTCTTCTCTTTTAATGGGATTTATAGGGTTAGGGCATGTTTGGTCACGGAAAATGGAAGGGAAAACAAAAAACATTCCAAGGAAATCTAATCTCTTATGTTTGAGTGTTTTGGAATCTGCCTCTCTACTTTAGAGTAGGGGTGGGACATGCTACACACACCCTAGAGCCTACTATAGTGACATTCTATTGGGTTGTTGTTGTATGTTTTAGTGTTTGATTTTTAATGGGATAATGTAAAGGAATATGTTTTTTTAGTGTATTCAATATCTTATTCATTATATGGTAGATAATAGAAATAAATAAAGAAGATGAGTTTGGTTAGATATTTGACCTAAATTTATTGAGTCTATCCTCTATGGTCTCTCCCAAAATGTCTTCCCTTCATAGTATTTTCCTCTTCCAAGCAGGCCCATTAAAGGTTTGACTGGAAGTCTGAAACTTCTAGTTAAAGATCTTGAGTTCTATACCTATTTCTTGTTTCCCCATTTATTTATGTGAAAACTTTCTGAATTTAATCTGGCATTTGAATTCAGCTGCTTTTATTGTTGGCCAGTCAAGTCAGCATTATTACTGTGCAGTCACCGTGGGAGATAATGCCGTGATTTCTGCGTATAGGTTAGTTTTGTAAATTTTTTTTGTTGTTTCTATTTTTTTTATTAAAGAAATGCCATGGTATAATTTTATTTCAAAAATTCAAGACTTTCAGTGGATAAAAGCCGATCAATTGTGGGGGCTATTCTGTCTAAAGTAGTACCTGCAACATTTTCAACAATAACTTCTATCTCGAGATTGTTTTGGCGAAGTGAGCCAACACCCACAAGAAAACCAGAACCAAAACCTCAACCTTTTGCTCGAGGTGATATGATGCTTTCTTTTCTTGTAGAAGTACTTCTCTTCATCTTCTGAATGGTATGAATTTATTTGCATTATGTCACATTGATGATAAATTTTATGCTCCCTCCGGCTCATTGGGGTTTCCCAACTTCCATTAACACGGAGGAGATTGGAGAAGTGTATGTTGAGTTTTGTTTGAATTTTATACTCCCTCCGTCCCAATAACAAATTCTCTGCTACTATTCCGGGGTCACTATACCTTTTGACTTTTGTTACTTATGCATTTTCAGTGATCATTTGATAATATAACATAGTTGTGTCACCTCTTGTTTTGTAGAGTTTTTGATGTCGTTTTTAAACAAATGAAATGAATTAAAAAGAACATATTACCTTGTAAACTGCAATAGGCATTTCCTTTACGAACAGAGGGAGTAGACCACATTTTTTTTTTGTAAAAGAAAACTGTGTTTTTTTTTCTGTGACACCTCAAAAGGAAAGATGGAAAGTTTAGTGGGACGAGGGAGTATATAATTAGGGTAGCTTTGGTAAATTAATGTTTTGTGTTTTCTGTACTAAAAACATTGTTTATAGTCTTCTCTCTCTCTCTCTCTCTCTATACATAATTAAATGTCTAAATTCTAAGCGCTTGGCACAGCTGTTCTGTATATGTGATTTATATTGTTATGGCTAAAATATGTGGTTTCATTAAAAAATATTAAATGTTTTATAAATAGTCTCTCAATCGGCAACATGTATCTTATAGGTAAGTTCACTCAATGTTATTATTAACAAAATGAATTTACATCGGTGTGGCAGCTTCTCCTTTAACATGTTTAAAGGATCATCCCAGAAAGGGTGAAAAACTCACATTATCACCAAGTGGAACTTTGGCTGCAATAACCGATTCCCTCGGTCGTATCTTACTCTTGGACACTCAGGCTCTTGTTGTAGTCAGATTGTGGAAGGTGTGTATCCCTTAAGCACACTATATATGTTTTTTTATTACATCGCAAGTTCTTGATAACACTCTCCCTAGTCCCTACTGCCAAAGTGCCGATTAGGGGTAAGATACGACCAAACACACACCATAGAGTCTAGACCCTACTTTTTCGTGGGATTTTACTGAATTTGTTGTTGATTATAGTGAAAAACATGAATGAATGAACTTGTTCGTCTTTTTTAGGGATATCGCGACGCCAGCTGCTTGTTTGTGGAGATGCTTGTCAACAAAGATCCTTCACCACAACGCGAATATATAAAGAATGATTACTCCTTATGTCTTGCAATTCATGCACCGCGTAAAGGGATAGTAGAGGTAATTATTCATTGATTCGTGATTGTGTTCATTTGAATATGCTCTTCTAAACCAAACCCTTTCTGTTGTGGTGTAAGGTTGGATGGTCGCGTGTTGTTTGTAAAACTTATGATATTTTTTTTAAAAAAATATATACGGAGTAACATACACGGGAAAAAATGAGCTTCTTTACAGATTTGGCAGATGCGAACTGGGCCTCGTCTTCAAACCATTCCGTGCCCGAAAGGCAGCAAAATGTTGCAACCGACGTATAGGTTCAGGTCATCGGACGCACCATGGTCGTCTTCGTATGTACCCTTACAAGTTTTCTTTTTGAATGGAGACTCTGGTCAGCTATCTGTTCTTAACTCATCTATTCATCAAACCACTGCCAGCTGATTTGTAGTATTTCAAAAAAAAGAAGAAAAGAATCATATTCCTTTGTTAGTGTTCTTCTATTTATATTTATACATACAAATATTGACAGTATATATATATGTTCTTGTTCGTCTATTGGATGATCTACGTGACGAAGTTTAAGAAAGTAAAAATTGATCCCTTAATGATTTAACTTGTTTTTAATTCTTAGCTTGATTTTTTTAAATGCACTAGCAGTGTTTCAAGAATATTATCGTTAAAAAATATAATGTTACGGACTAAGAAATATTTTTTTCTGAAAATTATTTTTAATATTAATTTGACAAGTTTTTTTTAATTTGTCGGATCTCGAAAATACTCCAAAATAAAGTTACACATCAAAATATCATATATACTGATTCAATGATTCCCAACATTATAAGGAGTACTTCAAAAAGAAGTTTAAATAGTTTCAAATTAAATGCTCAATTTTGATAATAAAGGAAACACATAAGTAATGCATAATAAGTACTCCATATTTAAAACCATACAAAAAACATTGAAGATGAAAACTTATTTTTCACATTTCGGATTTATTAATCCGACTCAAAACCATCCAGTTTTAAACAAATTCAGAAATAATATTGTATAATCAGATAATTTTGAGAAAATTATTTTCAACAAACTTTTAATTCATTTTTACTTTGGTGTCATGGATATGTTTCAGAACGATTTTTAAAACCATTTATATTCATGGTAGGTGGATTCCAAAGATTGTATTTTAAAATTTTTACACTTATATTTTCATGGTTGACATTGACACAAAATATCAATACGATTACTTCATAGAGTACTAACATTTCGTGTTAATGTCTCGCATTTACGGGCCTGTTTGAACATAGCGCCAGAGGTTAGCATTTCTTGCAGTATTTAGCGTTAACTTTTTCAAAGTTAGTTTTCATCATTAAAATTTTATCCATAACGTTAACGCTAATCGAAAAACGCTATTCCCAAACAGGTATGTAGAGTAAATTTTTGGATTATTATTTGGGATTCAATATTTGAGGTAGAATAGAATTAATACTCGTATTAACCCAAAAGTAGACCAAGGGTACTCTATTTGTAAGTCACAGACACAAAATGACTCTGTATGTCCGTGCTTTTGATCCAATGGTCACTACGGCCTTGTTTGGATGTTAGCGGTTAGCTGTTGGTAGTTGGCTGTGTGTGTTGGCTGTTTTGAATGACTGATTGAGTTAGCTGTTTTGACCAGCGGATTGTATTGGCTGTTAGGAAAAAATTGTTTGGTAAATTTAGTTGTTCATAAACAGCTGTTTGCAATGAAAATTACATATTTAGACATGTCTCCAAATATGTTGCTTAATTTTTCTTAAGGATGTGTTAATTACTTCCTTCGTCTAGAAATATTTTTCCCATTTGACTTTTTTTGGTCAAAGTTTGTAAACTTTGACTATGATATGTGGAAAAAAGCCAATGTATTAAGATATAACTTTAATATGAATATATTCATTTTGAAATATAGTTTTTAAATATCAAATTTTTTATAAAAGATATCCATGTATAAATAAAGATATTAGTGGTCAAAGTGTAATCTTGGATACTGTAAAAAGTCAAATGAGAATAACATTTCCGGACAGAGGGAGTAATTTATTGTTTTGAATCGTTTAAATTTTTAAATTATGATAACAATAACAACCTAGTAGGATCCCAGGAATGTAGGATCAAGGAAGGGTGTTGTACGCCGTTCTTACCCATACTCAGAAGTAGAGAGGATGTTTCTTAAATATAAAAATACATATTTTTTTTTGAAAGTTATTCTTGAACACTTAGAATTTAAACATTATTTATTTTCTATAAATATTTATAATCATTTCATTTTAAAATAAAAATTTAAAAATATGATGCTAAAAAAAGAGTAGTGTACTATAAAAATTATTGAAATGAAGAAACATGTCTAGGATAAGAAAAAGAAAGAAAAAGAATGCTTTGATAAAAAAATGGCGATGATGGGGGCATCTCTTTTTTGGGAACGGCTCAAGAAGGGCAAAAAATTAAATATATGCAATCAGCCAATTAGAAATGCTACTTATGTTGGCAGTTCAAATTTCGGCAGTTTGTGGCCAACAGCTAATTGCAAAAGCCAGTGTCCAAACAATTTTTTTGGCAGATTAAAAAGTCAAAAAAGCCATTCATGGTCAAAACATCCAAATGCTACCTCAACAGCCATTTACCAAACATGGACCTGTGCTTCACTGATATGTGACATTCAGCGAGGAAGAAGATCGAGTAACTGTGGCTTTGGCTTTCAATTCAACCTCTCGAACTGAAATGGGGTTCTCTGTGTTATCGGCTCCAAGGTCAGCAAACCCGCAACCATTTTCTGCCCGCTTTTTCTTTCCTAATAGTATTATTTTTCAGCAAATTTCAAGAATTGCGTCTCCGTTTCCTTGCAGTGGATGTACCCATGGCTGCGTGAGTCACGGTCTGGGCCGGAACTCGCCAAGATTGTTTTTGAAATTAGGGTTCATCCCTAATGGGCCGGGCACAGATCGGACCTCCAGTAAACCCGCAATGCTCATACGGGCCTGCTCATCATCTTCTCTTCCAGGTTCCTTTCTTTCGTTTATTTTCCCGAAATTGGTCGAATTTTTCGTGGCTTCTGTGTTTTTAGAGGAGTAAACTGTGATTTGTGTGATTATCCTTGTTGAAGCTGGAAGCTTTCTGATTTTGAAATGCCCAAAGCTTGCGCGTGCTGTTGAGAGTTGAGTAATTAGAGGGTGTTTGGGGTTGTGTTTGAAACCGGCTTTTGAGCTTGTGTTTTGTTAAATTGCAGTTTATGGTGTTTGGCAATCTGGTACTCCAAATTATCTATAGCTTATGGCTCCAGAAGTGTTTTTTTAGTAAAGATAAGACAGATAGCTTATGGCTTAGGAAGGCTAAAATGAGCTCTACAAGGGCTTTTTAGCAAAGCTAGGACTTATAACTGTTGCTTTTTGCAGGAATCTACCACAAGCATTCTCTTAGTAGGTTTAAATGTTTTTGGTATGGGTGGAAGTTAAGAAATGAAATATTGCCATGATCTCGAGAAGAATCAGAATCTCATGGATCAAGAGTTAATGATTATTTCAAATATTTACATTTACAATACAAATTTGCATCAAGAATGAAGAATAATCTTACCCAAAGCCCTTGACTCATTCTAACGAAGAATAACTGATACACTTAATCAGACATTTTGCATCCCTAAACGGGTGCATGGTGATGAGTTGAGATAGTTTCTATGGTTGTGTCTATTTCAAAAATTGATATTGTAAAATTGACAGTTTGACACGCACATCTTGGAATATGACCCTGCATATATCTCTTCCTATAAATCAGGAAACCAGAACAAATCTTCGTGGAAAAAATAATCTTGATTTAGAGTTTGCTTAGTCTTTTGGCTTTTTTTAAGCATTAAAAAAAGCTGCATGGTGTGTTCTAATTTCTAAATTGGATTTCTCAACGAGTGTGTAATTATTAATTTTCTCTAGAGCCACTTCTGGTGAGGGCTGCAAGAGGAGAACATGTTAGTCGCCCTCCAGCTTGGATGATGCGTCAAGCAGGAAGGTATATGGCTGTTTACAGAAAGCTTGCAGAGAAACACCCGTCTTTCAGAGAGAGGTCAGAGACAACTGATCTCATTGTGGAAATTTCCTTGCAGCCTTGGGAGGCTTTTCATCCAGATGGAGTTATCATTTTCTCTGACATATTGACCCCACTTCCCGCATTTGGGGTCCAGTTTGACATCGAAGAAGCCCGGGGCCCGGTTGTCCATTCTCCCATTCGTTCTGAGGAAGGATTGATGGCGTTGCACTCTATTGATTTGGAAAAAGTACAGTTTGTAGGGAACTCCCTAAAGATTTTGCGGAAAGAGGTAAAGTATATAACTTTCTTGATTTATTTTATAAATATAATCATTTTTTTTTCTTTCTATTATGCCTTGTCAATGAATACTTTAAAGAAATGAACATAACCGTGATACTCTGTATTTATTAGGGGAAAATGACATAACTCATAGTAAATATGTCATAGATTAGAAAAATGTTTTATAAAAATAGGGGCGTTGAATTCTTTAAAATGACCTAATTAGGGGTGGGCGCGGTCCGTGATGGTCCGTGATACTACCGGAAACTATCCCGGACCGCTCTTATTTAAACGGTTTGGTACCGGTTCGGGATGAACTCCAAAACCATTCGGTACCATTCCGTTTTGAAACGGAACGGTACAATACCATACCCATGCTCAAACCGTGCCAAAAAAATGAATGTACATTACTCAAAAAATATTGAATTTAATGTATAAGTTTGTATACAAAGCACAAGTTTGTTAAATAAAAGTATTGATTTCAAATTTAAACGGATCATTAACATAAAGAATAAAAGATAACGAGTCCAAAGTTAAAAAATAATTTTTTTCCCAATTCATATAATATCAGAATACTAATAACTATAAAAAAATAATGCTAATAGTAATGATAAATATAATAACAACAATAATTATGAGAGAGTTTAAAAATGAATAATAAAATACGAAATATTCTATATACGGTACGATGAAGTAGACAAATACTCCATAATTATTTGAGATATGTACTACGTGTATAGCATTGGACGGTTCGGTCCGTGATAATCGGTTTTAAATATATGTATCACGGTCCCGTCCCATTTGGCATCAGTTCGGTTTCGGTTCGTGATGAAAAAAATCAATCCCGTTTGAAAACACTATAAACGGTTCGGTACCATTACGGTCCGGTATGGTACCATACTAGTTCGGTTTTTTTGCCCACCCCTAGACCTAATGATAAAGAGTAGAGGGAGTATTTTTCATTGACTTTAAGGTTTCTCAAGAACAACAAATCTAGTAAAATCCCATAAAAAGTAGGCTCTGGGGAGGGCGTGTGTACGCAAACCTTACCATTACCATGAAGTAGAGATGTTGTTTCCATGAGACATTGTTGTACATTACCAACATTCAAAAAGTTTTAACTTGATGAGGCTTGGCATTTATTGAGCTTGGAGGGAGGGAGTCTAATATAACCTCTCTTTCATTTGGTATGCTGTGTTGAACTTTTACAAGACAACTAAGTTGGTCTCTTCCTCTTTGACTCTAAGGTTGGGGAGAAAGCGGCAGTTTTGGGTTTTGTGGGAGCTCCTTGGACTATAGCTACATACATTGTCGAAGGAGGAACTTCCCACACTTTCACAACGATAAAGAGCATGTGCCATTCCGCTCCACATGTGCTGAAAGCTCTTTTGTCCCATCTGGCTAAGGGAATCGCCGAATATATCATCTTCCAAGTTCAATCCGGAGCTCATTGCGTACAGATATTTGATTCATGGGGTGGACAATTGCCCCCTCATATGTGGGAAACTTGGTCTAAACCTTACATTGATGAGGTAATCTTTTGTTCATCTTTTCATTTCGTGGAGCATCTTTTCATTCCTGGTTTTAATAGTCACTTCTGATCTGTTATGGCATGTTTGGATCCTGGAAAATGCTAGGGAATGTAAACATAATGATAAAGAGAGTTATAAAACGTAATGTTTGGATCCCAGAAAGTGCTCCAAGAAGAGTCGTATTTGATTAAAGAGAGTTACTTTTCATATAATTCACCAAAAGAGTCCTTAACTAGTAACTACACATGATAAATTTAGTTAAAGCGACAAATAACTTTAAGACTACAACTAGAATTAAGGGTTTAGAGGATTTGCAACCTAACCAATTCTAAAAAGTTGTACCTTGGTCAACTTGGACTTCTTTTTTTTTGTTCTTTGAAAACCTGTGAAGAGTTTTGGAAGCAGATAGTACGTACAGTGAAGGGGAAGTGCCCAGAAACACCGCTTGTACTATACATTAATGGAAACGGTGGGCTCATTGAGAGGATGAAAACTACTGGAGTTGATGTCATTGGACTTGACTGGACTGTAGACATGGCAGATGGAAGGAAGCGGCTCGGAAGTGATGTCAGCGTACAAGGAAACGTCGATCCCGCTTCCTTGTTCTCTCCTCTCTCAGCTTTGACCGACGAAGTCAACAGGTTCGTTACACAACTCAGTAGTGTTTGTGCCTGTTTTGGCAACTAGACTTATCTAATGACAACATTTAGCTCAAGCCATTTCAAAGTTAATCTGCACCATTAAGAACAATCTGAAACGCTAAGTGAATAAGCTTTTCCCAAACAAGGCCTTTGTTGTGTATCGTCGATATTAGTGTCATTGATTTATTTATATGCTACACCACCACCACAACCACCACCAAGAGCTTAGTACTTGACAAGTGGGGCCGAATGTAGGGCATTATTTGTATGCAGCCATTGCGGCATTGCCCCTAGAGAGGTCGTTTAAGGTGTGTGGGGCCGAATGTAGGGCATTATATGTCTTGAAAGAAATCGTTGATAGCACATTTTTTTTCACAGGGTTGTAAGGTCGGCGGGGCCTAAGGGTCATATCCTAAATCTAGGGCACGGAGTGCTCGTGGGCACGCCCGAGGAAGCCGTTGCTCATTTCTTTGAAGTTGCAAGAGGCTTCAATTTTTCATCCAATTAATATGACCAAGTAGCCAAAACTCACAACTCAGAACTGAGACCATTCTTGAGGAGGAAATACATATATTGTCAATTTAGTAGCTTTGCACTCACTATTCCTTTTTAAGTTGGTTTTGACAATCTTGAATGTTAGCAATTGATGAGAAAGCCAAATACAGTGTAATGAATGTGTCCATCCTTTTTGGCTCTATAATTATCAAACAATGTTGTAAAATTACTATTCTTCCTTAAAATTTAAATCACAAAGTCCACTAAATTTGGGGGATGAAATTGAAGGGGTTGGGGTGGGTTTGGGTCGGGTCGGAGTAGAGAGGAATTTGGTCGTTAGAGGAATATGGACCATCAATTTTGTGAATGCAGCTCCGATTGGAATGTTGTTATATTATGGCAACGTCGCTTGTTGTTAAAAGGACGGAGCTCAATTGGCGTCTCAAAATAACACAAAAAAAAACATATGTAAAAAAAACTCAAGAATGGTAAACTTTTTCTACTAAAGATTAAAAAGAAGAGTTTTGTGTTTTGTTTTGTTTTGTTTTGTTGGGGAAGAAAGGAATATAACTCTTCCATAAGGGAGGGGTCGTTTGGATTTGAATTTAAGGTATCTAATTCTTTGATAAATGCCTCGTTTGACTGATGATGAAAAGTGGGAAATGACAATATGATGATTCAAAAAAGAAGTGGCAAATGTTTAGATAGATAGGATGTTTCTCACTCCCACTTGTAATTATAAGCCACATAATTGTTCATATTTAGGAGCTACTCTATTTTTTTAAATTCGAATATTATGGTTTTTTTTGTTCATGAAAAAATAAAAAAAGACATAGTTATGTTTTTATTTATTTATTTATTTATTATTTACTCTATAAAAAAATCATAATAATCAATTAAAAAAAATAGAGATTACATATTTATTTACTTCCTCTAAAGTCTCATCATGTCCCATTGATTTTGCCACAACTCAACACAAAAGTCTTTGCCACCTTCTTTAGTGCATAATTATTCGTTAGTTATTAGTCCAACACATTTTTGCTCACTTGTCATATACTCCCTAGTTCACAATAAATAAAAATAGTTGCCAAATTCTTCCTTTTTCCAAATCCACACCTTATATTAAAAAATGGACAAATTCATCATATCAATTTGTTCCATGATATCGTCTTAAATCAATCAGTAAACTTTTAAAACATGCGAGTAATCCTCATAATTAAAAACCTTTCATTATGGGCCAACAATTAAATGTACGAGCTTTTGGTTGAATTTTTTTCATGACATCTTATTAATTTTTTGTAATTTAAGAAATCACTGGTTCGAAACTCACAACCACGTCACGCATTGAGTTTTTTTTTTTGAATTAAAATTTTACGTGTAAGACTCGAAACGATAACGTTTAATTTGCACATGAGATAATGTGTTAGAATATAAAATTTTTCTTGCATCTATTGAAAAAGTTACAACTATATATTTAGAAAAAGTGGAATCCTTTTTATGAGAGGGAAGGTGTTTGTACTATATATTCATTTGAGACAAACTACTTTAATTTCTTTATAAAAAATGGTTCCTTGTAAAAACAAACAAATAGTAAAATATACCCAAACATGTTGCATTTCATTTTCGAATGTAGATGGTGTGTTATCACTATTCACTAACAAAGAATTGAAAAAAAAAGTGGTAATTAGCATAATGGAACATTATTAGATAATGCAACATTAACATTATAATAATAATAATCTAATGTGGTTCTTTTTCCTTTTTTCGCATAGTTCTTTAATAAAAGGATGAGCTCCATCCCCAAGAGCCCCCTCAGGACGGTCACTTGAAATGGGTAAACTAGACTTTGATCACAGATTGGTGGCAAAGAGTAGAGCCTGCAGCTGGTACTTGTAGAGGTCATATGCTTAACATAGTTGTCTTCTAGTGCAGTTGCCAAGAATCAAATTCGGGTCTTATCTCTTGACACTCATTGTCTTGTCAACTGTGCAACGCCCACCGACTGCATAGTTCTTTGATAAAGTGGTATGTGAAGTTGGCTTGACATCTTATGGTATGATGTGTGTGGGTATATTTATGTGGCAGAAGATCATAGTATAATGCCAAATATGCCCTATACAGAATAAGACAAAAAGAGTGACTAGGTTCATTCATATCTCTCAAAAAAAAATTAAGAAATGATGGGAAATGAAATGAGATCATATCACTATTCATTCATGCGCAAAGCAAAATGGAGTGGCAATTTGGGCACCATCTCAATTTTCATACTTCTATTGCTCTCAAATTAATTAAAACTTCATTAAATAAATATATTTCGTATTAATAAGAAAAAAAATATGTAACTAATAAAATTGGTTCAAAACATTTAATATGTGTTAGGCTAACTGGCTAAGTTATATACTTATATGTATATCCTCTTCCCATTTAGCTAATTTAATGTCACGTCAGCTTTTCTTTTTTATTTTCTCATCCTCTTTAAAAATTGTGTAGTGGTTCTCCTCTCTTTTCCCTTTGTCTATCATTTTTTAATATTATTTTCTAACACTTAATTTAATAATAAGAAATTATTAAAAACATACTCGGTAAAATACAATTAACAAACAAAAACGACCTGATTGACCCCTACTAGCGGTAATACAAATAAATAGTACAAACTTAAAACAATGAAGAATTATTTTAAGGGAAGAATGACAAAATCTAATTTATAAAAAAATTAGACTTACAAAATTGGATTAAAATAGATAATAAAGATTAGATTTAAATACAATAAGATTAGTGGGATAGATATATATTTAAAGAGTAATTATTACAAGCTAATTAAGGACCCAATGGACACTCAAAAGAAAGTACCGGAGTATGAAAGAATACTCTATCAGTCTGTCTGCAAAGGTGAAGCCAGTAGCCTCTTTGTAACGCTTATAATATTCTCAAGATTTTGTGTCCCAAGCTATAGCTAATGTGATATATATGAATGTACGTAACTTAAAATTCAAAATATATTCAATAAAACATCTTTACAAATTACACAAAAAAGATATTGTACAAAAAATTTAAAAAGTAAAAAAATATGTTGTTAGAACATATGAAGAGGGTAGAGAAAATGTTTTATTAACTATTTAACTACATGTTCTCCTTTAGAAGAATGATTTTTTTTTTAAGACGGACCAAATTAAAAAAGAAAAAATGAGAATTGTTATAGGACGTACTCACAGAGAGGACTCAGAGGAGTAATTTTCTTTTCTTCATTTATCTATTCTCTTTTTTGGAGGATGACTTTAATTTTGATTTTTTTTATTTCTTTCTTTTGGTGTTTTAAAAAAATAAATAAATAAATTTTCACATCGAATAGCTAGTAGAGAGTATATGTGTTACTCGGTAGATTTTAGGATCAATAAGGGTCACTAGATTGGGTCATAAAATTCCTCAAAAAAAGATTCGGTCATAAAACAATTAGGTCGAATCAAATTAAAAGATTAAATTTCAATCGATTAATCAATTCAAATCAAAAGTTTATATACATGTTATATTCTTCTCAATTTTTTAATGTGAGATAGACTCTAACATTCCTCAAATTAAATGGACTTCCTTTCCCAACTGGGCTAGATCTAGACGAACACCTTGACAAACAAAATTAGCCAAAATTACCCTGATACCATGATATTGTAAAATTTAGGATGAGCTATGGACTACAAGATTGGATCATAAGACACTTGAATTGAACTACATTAAAAGATTGAATACCATCGATTAACTAGCTAGTTCAACTCAAAAATTTATAAATATTACCAAAGTACTCCCTCCGTCCCAAAAAGATTTACACGTTTCAAAAAAATTGCGTCTCACAATCCCTTACTCATTTCTATTAAAAAACAAATTTTACCCTTTACTTTTTCAAACTCTACCTATCACATCATACCTTTTTTCTAATAATTACACATCACATCATACTTTTACCCATCACATTAAGGGTATTTTTGGAAAGTCAACACAAAATTATCTCTTCCTTAATTTCTACTTTAGTCAAAACGTACCCATCTTTATGGGACGTAGGGAGTATATTATTCTCATTTTTTTGATGTGAGATACTCTCTGAGAGTACGCATATTTTTGTTCTGTTTACTTTATATGGATATTAGTGTTTCTTTCTTTCTATAAATTTTGTCTAATTAGAATATGTATAAAATATAATTCCCTAACTTTGCACTAAATCAAGCTTTTGAACAACAATTTGGAGCTTCAAATTGAAGAGAGAGGCCCTAGAGGGAGGACCCAATACTCGATCCCTACCATAGAAAAAGAGCATGCATGTGTTGATGATTTGAAATCATGAATGACATAAATGATACTCCTTTCTATTCTAAAAAAACCATTTTATTATATTTTTGAGTCTATTTTAATTTAGATAATTAATTGAAATGTATAATATATATCTTATAAATAATTCTAGAGAAAATTACATAAATGGACTTTAATTACATGTAGTTTTTTCAGTCTCCAATTTTAATATATTACATAAAGGTCTTTATGTTTTGAATACTATTTTATATTTCTTTTTTTCATAAAAAGAAGAGAAATGGTTGTGTGTGAAATAATGAAAAGTTGTTTTTCAAACCTATATTTTTAAAAAATAAAAAAATAAAAAATGTTTGTGTTTGAAATAAAAAATGAATACATATATATATATATATGTGTGTGTGTGTGTGTGTGTGGGTGTGTGTGTATATGTGTGTGTGTGTGTGTGTGCGCTTCATTTGTCAAGTTAAATATTTTCATTTTTTTTCTAACAAAGTTTTTATCTTTTTTAATATATCGAGACCAAAAGAATACTAAGTACTCCCTCTGTCCCATTTTAAATTGCCTGTTTGTCTTTTTTCTCCGTCCCAAAATAAATTGCCTGTTAGTTGTTTCCGTAAACTTTTAAAAATAAAATATCTAAACTACCCCTAAAATAAGTCAATCTTCTTCACCTTATCTTCTCATTCATCATCACCCCTTCTAAAAAGAAATGTCAATTTCGAAAAATCAACTCTATTTTTTATTTTCCTTAAATATGCCCAAAAGTCAAAACAGGCGATTTAAATTGGGATGGAGGGAGTAACATCTTTTTAATATATAGTTAATTATATATTAAACTTTATGGATCGATGCGGAACAGATTTCCTTCATGACTTAATTTTTTCCTACTCTATGAAAGTATTTATTTCATATACTTTTCTTTTTCCTTATTTTCTTTTCTATTCTTTTTTCTTTTACTTTAGTTTTTATTAAAATAAAAGAAACTG